AAAAAAAACAATCATTTCTAACAAAGAATTTTCGTCTAATTACGGGGCCCTACGCCATCATCGTTTTCATCAAGATTCAAAAATCATCTCAGTAATTTCAATGATACATTCTCCCGAAATCTTGAATGTTAGTGAAGGAAAATTTCGATAAAAAACGAGTGCTGTAATAATATACGATTATAAATATTTGGGTATTCCGAATAATTACCATTGGAAATATGTTAATCTTATGGAAAGGGCATATTCCATACAGAAAAAATGATTAAATCAAGTGGCAGGACATAATGATAGAAATCGTTTACTAAAGACTCCATTTTCACCTATGAAAAGCTTAAATCTCCCGACTTGCAAAATAATCGAGTTGTGAGAAAAACATTGAGGAATGCAGTGGGTTGGTCCCTTGACAACAACAACATCAACTTTCATTTCGAAAAGTTGAAGCCTCATAGATTATTTTTTCTTAAGGAAGCATTCTCTGTTCCCTTCTTCTGAAAATTTTTTTTCAAAGTTGCTCAAGCCAATTTTCAGGAAGATGGTAATGACAGCGGAGTATATCTGGATGTGACTATAATGTGGAAACATGGTCTTCACAGTACCAGCTCTAAGCCTGTTTCTGAGCCCACTACAGCAAAATCGGAGACTGATACTAAGCAGGTACTTTCGCTTGAGAATAAGATAGCAACTAGCCTTACATTGCCGAAGAGAATTTAGATACAGATAACTCCTGCTCCCCCGATGCGAAAGCCACAGGAATCGGTAGATATTATCAAGGATAGCTCTTCGAATGACTCAAACGACGATGTCTTCTCTCCGGTTGCCGTCAGGAGCCCGAAAATCCCGTCTGTTACGGAAATTGACGACAAGGAAGATGGTACAGCGACCCGGGAAGAGTACGTCATTCTCTTCTTTTTTTGAAATTTTTTTCATAATGTCGATTATATGAACGGTTTCAGCATTGAAACTATATCCCTGAAAGATTCCTCTCGAGCATCAAACACTCCTGTCACAGACGCTGGAGCAAATGGGGATAAAGGGGATAGAAAGTCCTCCTCATCGAGTGCTAACAGTCAAACAGGGACATTTGATGTGGAACGCCCAAGTTCACGGGAATCTGCAGAGAGCGTGATTTCACAAACGGAAAGTAAGCACAGATGTGTCTCCCGAAAGAATTTTGCAAATGGGACTGAATTTAGGAACAGCACAGGCTGATACTGCGAGCCAGAAGGCTGAGGATCAAGCAGCAAAGGCTCGTGAGAAAAAAGAAAAGGACAAGAACGAAATCAGGAGCCTTCTTGGTGACTTGCCTCCAATCGCCAAACCTAGGCTGTCAAAGGTAACTTAATCATAATTTTTGCAAATTTACGCGCTCGGTGGCCTTTACGCTTACAGCTTATCTCCGGGCGAAGGCGGCCGCCCAGTCAAGCTAGGCGGTCGCAACGCGGCCGCAGGCACTCAAACCTTGCGACTTTGTGCCTCATGCGCTTTACAAGTGCGCGCTCACTTCCGCTTTGCTTTTACAATTCGACCTTGCCCCAATATATATTGCATTTCGTAAGCACTACCTTTCTAGAAAAAACCAAAAAGGACAAAAAAATTTTGAAATCTCAATATTACGGCAAGATTGCAGTATTCCAGCCACCGTCAGAATTCACAAGCTTGGCATCTATGGGTAGACCGAAGCATGAAAGCGAGGAGTCGTCTTCGAGGAGCAAAACAAGCTCGGAAAATGATGAGCTGCGGGAGAGACAACGAGCTGTCTTCTTCACAGACCCGCTTCATAAATCCATACCACGTGAGCTGCTCTGGAAAAAAATTAATAATAATTAATAATTGGAAAATGCTCACAGATTTTTTATGCATCTTTTACCTCCATTCAATCGTGAAATGTCAAAATTAGTAGAGTGTACAGGTGAGCCGAATCATCGCACGCAAGGACAGGACGCCATGGCGTCCGAATGAGAGAGTTCATGTTTTGAAGAGACATCAGACCGTGAGAGTAGTGCAATGTCCGTAATGGCATATCGTCTCTGCGTGTGATGATCTGACTATACTTCATCCAAAATCTCAAGAATGATAAATTATCAGATCAAAGGATTGCTGAATTTCGTCAACACTTAATGAGAAAAATTAGAGTAAATTCTCGACACAAAAACTTGGACAGGGGTTTCTTGAGATACGTTTCGCTATAGTCTTTGTGATGCCTTTCTGATAATGAACTTTTTTTCAGCCAGTGAAACCTCATCGGTCTCCTCTCCTCCTCCAAGACCTCCGGTTCGTTTACCAGCTAAAGGTGGACGAAGTGCGATACGAGTAATGAATGTGACACCAGAGGTGAGTGCACTTCACCCACAAGGTTAACTTTCTAAAGATTTCTGATTTTTCGAAAAGTGCCATCACATTACTTGAAAAACTGGCTATTTGAAGCTCGTACAAAAAATGATTGGCGCTTTTCAGGATGACTCCGTCGATTCAGACGAAAGTCGAACAGTATCAATTTTCATAGATCGCATTTATGTTCCGGAATTTTCTCGTTTGCTGCACCCAAGCTATGATGGTGTCAAGGTCTATGTGGATTGGTAATTTCCTTGAACTTTCACTGAAAGGGTTGAGATCAAAAATAACTACTAGGTTCTTCTTGGATTACCCATTGGAAGAGTCGAGAACTCCGGAAGCTATCTCCCTGCCACGAGTTCCAGACAGTCCAGGAGTCTTTGCCTATAAGAAAGGTAAGTGCATAGTTTGATTTTATGCGAATGCTGTTGCTACATCAGCGCAGCGTACGCGAGCGCGACGCGCAGGCGGTTTAGCCTTGTATGGCGCCCATCGCGCTCCAAAGATAATAGGTGCTTGGCCGTCGCGTTGCGTCCGCTTCGCAGTAAAAAGCCGCACGCCTTTGTCCTAGACTGGACTGTACTTGTAGATAAGAGTATATTTCCAGAGTTCCAACTTTCAAAGCGTCGTGTTGCGTTACTAGAGCAATGGGTTGAGCTGGGTAACCGTCTTGACTTTACCTTGATAACAGAAGGAGAAGATAGTGAAGAACTGGCAGTTGCTCAACTGGAACTTAGCCGTACTGCGACTGACGAGACTACGACAATCCAATGTACGATTGTTTCGAAAGAATAAATAAACGATTTTCCATTCTTTTTTCAGTTCTCGACATCAATGGCGAGCATTATGCAGATTTGGACCTTGTTGTCTCCTACCCACCGCAGATCTTCGATTGCCTCAAAACTTGATTATAAATATGATTGATTAATTTGACTGCTCAATTTTTTTCGATTTTTATTACAGGCATAAATATTTGTGCATTTCACACTCAGGAGACGGACTACAAAAGATGAGCAGTGAACTATGAAATGCAGAAGAAAAATCCACGGTCGTCTTTTGTGGAGACGTCAAGTACTACAATACATAAATCCCTACTTTTTTATTGCATGTATCTTCCGTAAGTATGTGCGTTCCTTACACTCGACTATGTGACAATTAGATAACACCCGCTAGAAAGTGTTCCCTTTCTGAGAGTATGCCACATAGATTTTAGTTCAAACAGTGACGTTTCAAAAAGTAACTGAGCCAAACTCTTTGTGGAAAGGGTGTTTGAAGGAACAATTCGTACAATAGCATATCATCCGGGCTTGCCAAAAGGATTTTTTGATATTGGGTCGCCAATGGCGGATAGAGCGGGAGGGCCGCCCGATAATGGGTGGCGGAAATCATGGTTACTTACATGGTTCATAAAAAAAGTGCAAATGACGTCTAAACTTGCAGATGGGGCGTAGTTACTAGGGCAGGGGCCCCAAAAATTTTGTTAAGCATGCCAAAAAGATTCCTGGTGTGTGTTATTATACAGTCTGCTACTGTATCTACCGTATCCCGCAAATTGGCTGTGCTATGCAAAATTATTGTAAAGTTCTATCAACATGTCAAATGATCACCAACCATGTTTGAAAGAGTTAAAGGAATTTTCACATTTCTGTAGACGGGGTAGCCGAACAGCGCTGTCACTAGGCTTTGTCAGAACTACCACTGTAAATACATGATCTCAATGTACCGATGGACCTGATCTACGCTTCCCCAGCAGTAGCGCCTACCTACCTATTTCAAAAACATATCGCCATTTTATTCGTAGAGGCAAATAAAGCCGGCATTACTTACTTAAACTGAAAACAAATTGATCCACAGACAAACAAATCTGTCCCTCGCAGATTCTCCAAATTCACAAATGCAAAAGACAATCAAGAAGTGTATCAAACGTTCGCGTAAGGAATTTTTGCGGTTCGGGCTGAGTGTCATCAAGGACATAACTCTTCACGCGCGCTGATTCCCGAGAAGAATGCTACCATTTCTCTGCGCCGCATTCCACGCCTAAAATTTTGCGATTGTCGACTCGGCACTTGCTTTTTTCTCAAAACTCTGTTTGTTTCTTGGTTTTAAGACTTTACATGAAACTCGAATATTTTTGTTTATCATCAGAAGAAGTTGGACCTCTCTGGGCTTTTTCTTTTTTCGAATTCGGCGTTCCATGCGTCGATTTTTTTTGTAGTTTTACACCCTAAATTTCGCTCTTTTCCAGCCCTAATTCGCTCTTTTCCAGGTACACCAATAGCTGCAATGGCTCCCGCTGCCAAGAAGCCTCAGGTGCGTGAAAGTTACTCTGGAGTTTGTAATTCGGACTGAGAAGGTCCTTTTTATACGGACACGGAGTTCGAATTATTTACTGAGAAGGATGTAACTTTCCGTTAATTAGCGAAGTACATCCGGATGCAAATCCGGTATGTACCTTTAGGTTTTTGTATTTTGTTCTGTGAAGTATTTTGAAAATAGACTCTTTTGAGATGGTTTTTCCATCCTTCATTGTTTATGAAGTTATCACTTAGAACAGTTTTTTTTTCTTAGTGGTAGTCAAACCTCGTTGAAAATCTGCTGTATTTGAGACAGAAACAATACCTTCTTTTTGCTAAATTTCGAGCGGTGTTGCTTTTTGGTCATAACGCTCAAACTGTCTCAAAATAGCGAAAAGGTGGCAGATAACAAATTTTCACCTCGCATAAACTGTTGTTAGAGTACTTTTTTTGAAAAAGTGTAAAGTAACTGTCTATGATGGCAATCACTTCGTAGATTCTTAAGAGAAAGTATATACAACTTGCGATAAAAATTTGATATCTTGCTCCTTTTGGCTATGTTTTGAACATTTTGAGGCAAGAAGATCAGTTAGACATGTAGTATTGCCGGTATCTATTGTTTTTCATCTTCTATCGATTTTTATTCAGGTCAAGAAAAATGCTGAAAACATCAATACTCGATTGTCTATGGTGATGAAGACCGGAAAATATGTGCTGGGCTACAAACAAACGTTGAAGGCTCTTCGAAACGGAAAGGCCAAGTTGGTTATCATCGCCAACAACACTCCTCCTCTCAGGTGCGTAGTCCTTGGAAGCTTTTCACTTCGAAATTTGATTTTGATCAATTTTAGAAAGTCTGAAATCGAGTATTACGCTATGCTGGCCAAGACCGGTGTCCATCATTACAACGGAAACAACATCGAACTTGGAACTGCTTGCGGTAAACTTTACCACGTCTGCACCTTATCGGTTACTGATGCTGGAGATTCCGACATCATCCGCAGCATGCCATCAGAAACGGCGTAATGTTGTTATTGTTGATTTTAAATAAATTGTTT